CTAATTATCTTTCCACTTCTAGATTAATGATCTTATACAGTATTTGTCCTTATGAGATTGAGTTAGTTCACTCAATATAATGCTCTCTAGTCCCTCCCAAGTTATGTAGTCATTTTCAAAATCATTGCTCCTCCGTGCTACCTAGTTTTCCATCATGTGAATGTACCACAACTTCTCAATCCAGTTCAATTGTGGTTGGACATTTTGGCTGTTCCCAATGTTCTTGCAATAGTGAAGAATCCTATTTGTACAGTTCTCCGCTTGTGTCTCAGTTCTAATTTTCTTGGGGTATATTCCAAGCAGTGGGATAGCTGGGTTTATATGGATTTCTATGTTCAGCTATTTGAGGAAACACCAAACTACCTTTTACAGTAATTGTATCATTTTACAATCCCACCAGCAGTGTATGAGAGTTCCTATCTCTCCACATCCTCTCCAACATTTATTGCTTGCCATCCTGTTAAACTTTGCCACTGCTACTGAAGTGAGATGGTACTTCATTGATTACAGAGGCTTTTACAGATTCACAGAGGCTGTAATTCACCTTGGGAAAGGTGGGAAGAGATTGCCCACCTTTTCCCATGAAGCAGCTCGTAGATTTATATTGCTTGCCTTTGGGTTAGCAGCACTACTTTTTACCTACTAGGCCATCAGAGCTCCCTAATAATCTTCTAGGAAGGTGGTAAATGCTATGGAGAACAGAAAAGGTACGGTATGGAAAGAAATCTAGTAGTAACACCATATTTTCCCTAAGATACTATTGAGAAATTGGAAATAGCCATGGAACTTAACTCACATTAAAGAATAAGGAATGGCAGTTTATTTCCTGTGACTAAACAGCTCTTTCTAGTCTCATACATGAGATTTACATATGCTTAAATTTCCTTTCACACTCTTCTCATATTTCTTTATCAAAAGGGTCTTCCTTGATCATTAAATCTTTACAAGATCCTTTGTTGGAGCATCTCATGATTCTCACAGATAACTTGCACTTGTGTTTGGGGTTATTCACGTCAAGAATGTCTTCTGTTCTCAAAAACAATGTATTTGAATTTTGTAAATAAACTAGTATTTTAAAAAAGAATGTCTTCTGTTAAATGCCATTATTTTAGCCATTATTGTTGTTGTTGTTGTTATGTGCTGTTGAGTCACCTGGACTCATAGCAACTCTATGTACAACAGCTTTTAAACCTGCCCTGTCTTGAGCCAATCTCCCTGACTCTGACACACCTACCCCTATTGTCCTAGTCACTGTATCAATCCATCTCATCTGGGGTCTTCCTCTCCTGCGCTGTCCCTCCTCCCTTCTGATTATGATATCCTTCTCCAAGGATGGGTCCATCTTGGCCATATGCCCAAAGTGTGTGAGATGGAGCTTCAAAATCCTAGCCTCCAAGGAGAGACTTGGTTTCACCATCTCCAAAACAGACCTATTTGTTTTCTTGGCAGTCCATGGTATGTTCAAGACTCTTCTCCAGCACCACAACTCAAAGGCATCAATTCTTCATCTGTTACGCTTAGTCATTGTCCATCTCTCTGATGCATAGCAAGTAATTGTGAAGACCATGGCCTAGATTAGGCTCACCTTAGTCTCTAGACTGACATTGTTGCTTCCCAGTACTCTAGAAAGGTCCCTAACAGCAGATTTTCCAAATGCAATTCGTCTTTTGGTTTCCTTATTGCTGGTGCTAAAAGTGTTGATTGTGGAGCCAAACAAGCTGTAACTGTTAACAACCTCAATCTCTTCTCTAGCCATCATGGTGCTGCCAATTGGCCCAGTGGTGAGAATCTTACTTTTTTTTTTCTTTGCCCCAGCAAAGTAGGTGTAGGTGTTGGATTAATAAATGAAAAAGAAGGTGGCAGGGAATGTAAGGGAAAAAAAGTGTATTGTTTAGCTAGTCCAAGAAATTGATTTATCTTTGTGATGATTGTTTTGTCAGGAAACGAAAGTATTTGTTGCAAACAGCTTTAGGAAGGTATTGCTGAGAAGTAGAAGTTGCTGTCTGACCTGGCACGGTATACCTGCCAGCCTACCAGAAGACTGGAGTTGGGGTGCTCAGTCAGGTTAGAGCTTCTTCTTGTGTGAATGAAGACCTAAGCCCCAAGATGTGAACCTGGTCACAGGTAGTACCTCTTCTGATCTAGGGTATGTGAAGAGGTGGGGTACCCAGTCTGAGTCTAAATCTTTAGACTGACATCATTGCTATGGAGAGGTCCCTGACAGCAGATTTTCCCAGTGCAGTTTGTTTTTCATTTCCTGGCTGCTGGTACCAAGGATTTTGATTGTGGAGCTGAGCAAGCTGAAGCTGTTGACAATCTCAGTCTCTTCTCTGTCTATCATTATGTTGCCAATGGGTCCAGTGGTTAGAATCTTTATTTTCTTGATGTTGAGTTTCAATACATATTGAAGTCTGCAGTCCTTGACCTGCAGCAAATGCCTCAAGACCTCCTCAGTTTTAGCAAGCAAAGTTGTGTCATCTGCATAACGCAGGTTGTTGATGAGTCTTCCTCCAATCCTGATGCCACATTTCTCCACATAGAGCCCAGCCTCCTGAATGATCTGTTCTGCATACAGGTTGAAAAGGTAGGTAGACAAGACACATCCCTGATAGACTTCTTTCCAGATTTTGAACTATGCAGTGTTTCCTTGCTCTGTTCTTATGCCTGCCTCAGGGTCCAAGTATAGACAAGTGCTATCTACTTATATGAAAATACAACCTCTAGGGAGCTCTGGTGGCCTACTAGTAGAAAACTACTACAATTGCAATCCCAAAGGCACAAGTTCCAATTCACCAGCTTCTCTGTAGGAGAAGGATGGGCAATCTCCTCACATGCGATTAAGTGCTTCTGAAAAACTACTGGAAGGTCAGCTATAAATTGGTTCCAAATCAATTGTATACAACAATAATAATTTGTGTCATAGGTGCTCTGGTCAAGTAGAGTGAGTGTGTGTGTGTGTGTGTGTATGTGTATGTGTGTGTTGCTAACTGTTGAGTCAGAACTAACCCATAGCTGAACCTCCAGTGGGTTTTCAGAGGCAGTTAATTGCATAGGAGGAAATTGCTCATCCTTTTCCCACAGAACAGCTGGTGGATTCGAACTGCGTGCAGCACAGCTTCTTGTCATTAGGCCATTAGTGGTCCCTTGGTCAAGTAGTAGATGTGCTTACTAATTGTTGGGTTAAATAAAATGTTAGCAGTTCAAACTCTGTGGATTTGGTTTGGGTTTTATATAAACCAAGATCTAAGAGCCTTAGCACACAGTAACCATTGCAGCTGGGTGCTAACTCAAAGGTTAGCAAGTCAGCTGTTCCATCCATAAGAAAAATATGTGGCATTCTAGTTCCAGAAAGATTTACAGCCTCAGAAACCACATGGGGCAATTCTATGCTATGGCAAAGGGTTGCTGTGATTTTTCAGAATCTACTTTATGGCAATGCATTATCTATGGTCCATATCACAGGATCACTTTTTATGCCAAATACAGATTTGATATATTTATCTCTCACCTTTGGATAGAAGAGTGAAAGTAAAGAACAAAGTTCAAGAAAGCTATTGCCAAAGTTAACAAGAGCTGTGATGGATGAGTAGGCCATAAACTTACGTGATTTGTCAGAAAAAAAAATGCGTAGTAACTATTAATTTTAGCAATGTTGTTATTTACCTTTGAGTTGTAACCGACTTATAACCAAACCACCCTCCATTGGGTTTTCAAAGGCAGCAAGCTTTTTAGATCTGTGTTGATATAAAGTTGTGCAGTTTAAATCCATCAGCAGCTCCATAATTTACAGCCTCTAAAAAGCTGTTGGAGGGTCAGCTAAGAGTCAGTTACAACTCAAAGGTAAATAACAACATTACTAAAATCAATAGTTACTTTGCATTTTTTTTTCTGACAAGCTATTTCAATTTATGGGCCTCTTATCTGAAGCTGGGATAATTGTGTAGAAGCTGTCAGTTTAAGTAATTTGCTAACATTTGCTATCAAATTTATGAATTCTTTACCCTCCTCTATCTGAAGTAGAGTATTTCCTACTTGGCTTTCAGGTGTCAGAAAGAGAGCAGAAATATGGAAAGGAATCAGAAAAGCATGATTAAAGAGAGTAGAAAAATATAAGCACTCACCCAAAAAGGCAAGATGGCGGTCTTAGTTTCCTGCTGTGTGCAACGTGAATTAGGGGTACAAAAGTTGAAACCAGATTCTGGCTCTGTGAGGAGCTCTGAGTTTTTTATGTCAGTCTGGGCCTATGCCATCTGGCATAGGCTGTCTGGTTGTTAATAAAGCCCATAGAATCCTGGGAGAATGGGGTACCTGTGGGGGAGGCAACATGGCATTCTCAGCTTCCTGCTGTGTGTGACACAAGGGATAATGACTAAAGAGGATAGAAGAATTGATGCCTTTGAGTTGCGGTGCTGAAATAGAGTTTTGAATATACCATGGACTGCCAAGAAAACAGATAGGTATGTCTTGGAGAGGGTGAAACTAAGTTTCTCCTTGGAGGTTAGGATTTTGAAGCTCCATCTCACATACTTTGGGCATATGACTTGGAGAGACCTATCCTTGGAGAAGGACATCATGCTCAGAAAGGGAGAGGGACAACTCAGGAGAGAAGGACCCAGGATGAAATGAATTGATACAGAAACGAGGGCAATGGGGGTGTATGTGTTGAAGTCAGAGAGACTGGCTCAGGACAGGGCAGGCTTCAGATTCGTTGTACATAGAGTCGCTATGAGGCACAGGTGACTTGACAGCACATAATAACCGCCACCTAGAAAGTAAGATGAATAAGCATTCTTTCACCGTTGTGTAAAGTAAAATTTCAAATCCCTTAAGGATCTTCATCAAGTAATTTTGGAATATATGGAGCAGAGGAGTTTTCCTTTGAGGAAGAAAGAGATATATTCTCTTTCTCAAAATAAGCTAACAATAGAGTAAGAAAGCCAGTTGTATACTTTATATCTTTGAATTTCAGCAGATGAACACTAAACTTTTCTTTGTTTCAGGATGAAGAGAAAGTTCTATTCCTGGGATGAATGCATGAACTTGAGAGAAGTCAAGGTAAAATCTTAGGGATGAAAAGAACCTGAGAACTATACTGTCTACTTCACATGTCTAGATCTCATTTCAGAGGACAGCAGCCAAGCTTGCTCTAGTCTTTTTGGGTAGCACTGCAGAGAGAGGCTTCTTATTGTTTCTCTATTATCTTTCTAATGTAATATTAGCTCACTTTTCGTAGTTCTACTATCAGTGGATAAAAAAAAATAGCTGTACACTCTTATTTGTAAATAGACTCACTTTCAAAATGGCATGTTATCAAACAAATGATAACTTTAAAAATTGTTGTGTACTGTCAAGTAAATTTAGACTTTTAGCACTGCCTCATAGTTTCCAAGACTGTAATCTTTATGTAGGTGATTACTATGTCTTTCTCCAATAGAGTGACTAGTGGGTTTGAATTACCAGACTTTGAGTCAGCAGCTAAGAGTTTGACTGTTGATCACAGCATATATTTGTGCCTCATGCTATTTATTTGTATTTTGTGCTGTATGACTTGGATACATTTTTTTGGACAACTTTGCATGGCATTTCACATGGTTAAGGCAGCCTTTCCATCTGTTGAATAGATGTAAAGAAAACGTGATCAGTTAGAGTATTTCTTTTTTATTGGGAAAAACATATTGGGGGTACAAGGAGGTGAGGGTTGTGGGCAGAAGGGTGAGGATGGGCCAGGATGCAGTTGCAGAGCTGCACAGTTTGGTCGGTGGGGGGAGCAGGTGAAGGAAATGGTGAGGATCCAGTGAGGACCAGTTACTACAGAGGAATGACAAACATTTTTCAATGGTAATTAAACCAACTTTTTTATTGATTTGGGAACTGGATGCCAACTCTCTGGCTTCTTCATGCTGAACAGGGGCGTAGATGTAAAGGGGGGAAGGGAGGATGCTTTATCACCTTACTGGTGGCCTTGGGTTAAAGCTGCTTGCCTTCTTGCTCTGTTAGAAGATACTTTCCTGTCATCTGCTCCCCTCTGGACTGCAAAGTGTTTTCCCAGGTGGGTCCAGTGGGGATGGCTGGTTGAACCCAGAGGCTCCATCCTCCTTTGCTTCCTTAGCTGTCAGTTGTATTTCCTTTTTGTCACAGGCACTGGGTTCAGGGTTAATTCTGGAGTAAAACTCCGTGTTAAGGTTACCTATAGGAAAGGGAGCAAACCTAGAGAGAACAAACTTGTGAGTTACAAATAGAAGGGCTTTGAGGGTGTTGCTTTCAGGTTTACTGGGGGAGAGGGCGACAGAAGGTGGCCTAGATAACATTCTCTGGATACCCTAGGCATTCTTTTTTTTTCCTTCCCCACCCAGGGGTCAGATGGCACAATCTGGGGACTGAGGAACTCACCCTGAGGGCCGCAACGGCTCGCCCTGAGCCAGGGGCCGAGGGCAGCCCACCCTGGGCAGAGGGCCGCTATGGCTTGCCCCAAGCTGGGGGCTGAGAGCAGCCCGCCCTGGGCAGGGCAGCTCCCCCAGGAGCTGGCTGGTATACTCCCCCTCCAATTGCCCCTACTCCAGTCTGATCCCCTCGCCTGACCGAGGACTATGTGGTCAGGGATAGTGTCTCCAATTCTAGCACCACCACTTTTACCCGCCCCCATAAGTGGTCATACTATATTTTGAAGAAGGTGTCACTGTCCTCCCCCTTTATATATGGTAAAGGGAACCTGAGAATTGTGAACAGACTGCCCCCAGGTCTAACCATCTTTTTGACAGAAGCATTCAACAGAACAAAATATGTGGTGCATTTAGGATGTTGTTCCTCTTGTGCATGCTGCCACTGTTAATTGTCATCAAACTCACAGTGACTTTTAACAATCCATTGTATAGGTAATCATCTTCTTTGGCCTGTCCAAGGAAACCCAAACCTGCAGATGGTGGGGCACGCATCCCATCTCCTGCCTCCCACACAGGCGGCCAGTGGGTGCATGGCCCCTTTCGCGCGGGCGGCTGGTGGGCGCACAGTTCCCCCACCGCCGCCATCCTGGCTCCAAGAATTCTCTCCAGAACAAGTCCACCTTGCAGCAGCGTGGTGGCTTCACTGCACCATTCTTGAGGAGGGCCGGTGCCCAGCATTCATCCCGGGTGAGGGAATCCATTGGTTCCGGCTGTGGAAGCCTCATGGCGCTGCAGCAGCTGTGCAGCAGGGCGCGGGCTCTGCGGGAGGGGGTTGGGAGCCGTGAGACTCACCCATTCCTCCTTGGGAATCCTTGAATTCCTTTTGTTGAGCCTCGATCTTCACTGAGGGCCAGTCATCAACTGATTAACTGTTCAATTATCAATAAGCCAAAGTCTGTAGAAGGCCATAGTGGCCCTGCTTTAAGTGGTTCACTGCTCCTGCAGCTCACCACGCTGTCTCTGCCTCCACCGCTATCTTGGATCCAAGGCTCAGTTACAGTATTTAATAGCTGTGCTGCAATCCCAAAGGCACATGGTTCAAATCCACCAGCTGCTCCAAGAGATAAAGATGGGCAGTCTCCTTCTGGTTGATTAACCAACTCTGAAAACCTGCTGGAGGATCAGCTATGGGTCAATTCCAACTTGACAGTACACCACCACCACAACAACACTGACCTAAGGAACTCTGGTGATTCGTGTGTTATATATTACTCAGCTAACTGAATGGTCGGGGCTTAGAATCACTAGTTGGTCTGAGGGAGAAAGATGGGCAGTCTACTTTCATAAAAATTTACAACCTTGGAAACCCCCTGGAGGCTTATTATGAGTCAGAACTGACTGAAAAGCAGTGGGTTTGGGGTCTTTTTAGATTATAATTAACTTGGTTTAATGTTGTACTTAAATCCTTTATTCAAAAGAATTACAAGTTGAATTGACAAAAGTTGTCTAATACACTTACAACAATGACAAAAAATTAGCTAGCTACTCAGGCTGCCAATACACAAATACCTCAGAGGATTTGGCTCCTTAGTTTGGAGATTTAGGGTCATAGATTCTAGGGACAGCCTAGTTAATTGGCTTAATGACGTGCTCATTGCTTCTTAATGTTCTACCTCCTGTTCATGACATAGTTCTTGGGGTGTTAAAATCTTGAATGCAGCCTTGTAAGGCGATAATCATTACATAAGCAGACTGTTAAATCTTTCCTCAGAAGGGTTCAAATTGCCGGCCTTTCGGTCTCTATTCACTTGAAGTATCAGTGGAAGAATAATCAGATAGAGGAGGAAAAAGTGACTAGTACCTTCAAGAAACAATTGCCTTCTTTGCCATGAGACCAGGAAGAAGTGAGTGGTACCATTTTGAGCTAAGATTCTTTAGAAGAATCCTAATCAGAAGGGGGGAAATGGAACAGAATGGAAAATTCTCTTGGACTCCAGACGTTGCAGTGTGGAGAGTGGATGAACTCTCGAAACTATTGTTTTAAAATAATCTTTAAACCTAAGAAAGCAGTGAATAACTCAGAAAAAGAGAATGAAACTGGTTATATAACTATCATTGAATTGTACATTGCACAGTGGTAGAAGCAGTTTAATTGGTGAATATTTTGCTGTGTATATTCTCGACAACAAAAACAACAAAGGGAATAAAATTATATTTAAAAAAATAAAAGTACCCAGTTAACTGAATAGGATGATTACTCTTCTATTTTTCAATTTGGAATCCTATTCAGTTAACTGGGCACTTTTATTTCTTTTATTTCTACATGTTTGTTTTTGCTGTGTGTATTCTCAACAAGAACAAAAAGAATCTTTCTTAAAATTAAAAGTGAAAAGGCAAAAAGAAAATAAAAGGCTAAACAAAACTATTACAGTTTAAATTCTAAAATATATTTTAATTGTATAGATATTAAAATGTGAGTTTTTAATGAGGTCAGAAGGAATACTACATGACTACAGTAATGAACATGACTGACATTAACTTTACTAAATAAACTGCTGAAACTTTAAGGATTTTAATTTGCTCTTTTCCAGTCTCTGAAGAAACTTAATCATGCCAATGTGATTAAATTGAAAGAAGTTATCAGAGAAAATGACCATCTTTATTTTGTATTTGAATACATGAAAGAAAACCTCTATCAATTAATGAAAGACAGGTATGTCCATATTTTTATAAATGCTGATTTTCCCGTTATTTCTTTTATGGGTTGCTTGAATTTCTACAATGTGTCACATTTTATAATATACAGATCTAATATCTAAGAAACAGATTTATTATAAAATAATAGCATTTGACATTGAAGAACCAGCTTTGACATCACTACTTTTTTTCCTTAAGTCCAGATAAACCTTTTGTATAAGCATTTATACAAAAGGGAGCTCTGGTGGTCTAGAGGATAAGGAATTGTGGTGTCAACACAAAGATACACAGTTCAAATCCACCAGCTGCTCCAAGGGAGAAAGATAGGCTATTTCCTCCTATGTAATTTGTTATTATTGCATACTGTCAAGTTGAAACTGCCCCATAGCCGACCTTCCAGCAGGATTTCAGAGGCAGTAAATTTTAAAGATTTCCCATCTTTCTCCCATGAAGCACCTGGTCAATTCAAACTATATACCTTTGCAGTTTACAACCTCTGAAAATTCACTGGAGGGTCAGCTGTGAGTTGGTTTTGAAATGACAGCACATAACAAAAACAACATACATACAAATAATTTTGAAAGAAAAAACAAATCTATAGTTTAATAGGAAGCTCTGGTGGCTTAATGGCAAGGAATTGCACCACTAATGCAAAGGTACATAGTTCTAATCCACCAGCTGCTGCATGGGAGAAAGATGAACAGTCTCCTCCCATGTGATTCTTGCCTCTGAAAACTCACTGAAGACTTCACTATGGGTCAGTTCTGATCTAATGGTAACACAACAGTAGTTTAATACTCAGTAAGCAATGAATGAGGAAGACTAAAGAATTGAAGCCTTTGGATTATGACACTGACAAAAGAGTATTAAATATTCCATGGAGTGCTTAAAGAACCAACAAACTGGTCTTAGAACAGTAGCCAGGGTACTCCATGAAGGCAAAGATGATGACACTTTGTCACACATAATTTGAACATGTTGTTGGGAGGGCCCAGCCTTTGGAAAAGGATATCATGCTTGGAAAAGTAGGGAGAGAGGATCCAGGAAGGAGAGGAAGACTGTAAGTGCATGTGGGTAGACACAGGCTAAAACAATGGGCTTCAGTACAGCAGAAATTGTGAGGACAGCACAGGATCAGGCAAGGCTGTCAGTAAGAGTGAGAGTGGACAGCAGGGGTTTGCAGAAACAACACGAGGTAACAACAGAACAAATTGTAAAAATGATCTTCATTGCTCTGTCAAGCATTTTAGGAAATTCTAGTGAAAGAATGAAGCAAGAAATGAAGTAAATTCCAAGAAAATTTCTGGTGAGCTCATTGATTAGAATGTGTAAGTTAGTGATCAAACTTAATACATGACCAATCCCAAAGGAATTCTAATTTTTAAACATAAGAAGAGAATCTTTACAGAGTTCATTTGTTTCTTCTGAACTTGGAGAGCTTAATACTGTGGTGATAGTTGTCCTGGTCACATCTTGGAGATAAATGTCTGTTTTACTGTTTTTAAAACCAGAATTGTTCAACAAATGGCTCTAAAATAGCTTTAGAAATGTTAAATTTTTAGTATAATAGCATTTCTTGCTCTCTGTTAAGCACAAAATCAAGTGCTAGGTGAACTCTGGTGGCCTAATGGCAAGAAGCTGCACTGCAATCCCAGAGGTGAACGGTTCAAATCTACCAGATGCTTTCCTGGAGAAGGAGGTACAACTTCCTGTACCAGTCAGATCCGATTTGACGGCACACACACAAACAAACACAATGAAAAAAAAAAAATCAAGCCCTAAGGAGATTAAGTTAATTTTTTCTTAAATTCTTCACTTTAAAAATATTTCCTAAAAAAAAAAAATCCTGAAGGTCTATTCTTTTTTCAGGCAGATGCCATAACATTAATAAGAGTCAAGAAAAATTTTCTACCCCTCCATATTTATTCTTTTCCCACATTCCTTGCTAGCTTTTGTAGATCAACATGTATACTTTATTTTTTAATAGTCATAATTTTAATAGTTGTAGTTTTTAATATTCATTTTTAGTTCCATTTTTAATAGTCATAATTTTAATAGTCATAAATGTTTTATTTATTGACTTAAAAGGTGGTTGTTTGGGTTTTTATTTTTAATTCCCATGTAATTAGTCTTCATGGTTACCATAGTTGTTGTTATGTGCCGTCAAGTCGCCTGCGACTCAGGTTCTATTAAATGGCTATCCCAGGCTACACTTTAAGGGGCTCTGGTGGCAAGGAGTTGCACTACCAACCCTAAGGCACTCTGTTCAATTCCACCAAAGCTCTGTGGGGAAAAGATGGGCATTATCCTCCTGTGCAATTTAAAACCTCTTAAAAACCCTCTGGGGGGGGTTAGTTGTGAATCAGTTCTCACTCATTGACAACTATCAGGAAGAAGCTGCACTTACCTCTTTGAACAAATACTGATGGTAGGATAGGTTGGTAATTTTAGTATTTAAAATTGATGAATTATATAGCCACTAAGTGGCAGTGCAGCTCCTTTTGTCCACTAGGCCACCAGAGCTCTTAATATATGCATTGCCGTTATGTATACTGTTGAGTCAGAACTGACTCATAGCAAACCCTCCAGGGGATGTTCAAAGGCTGTAAGTCATAACTACAAGTCATTAACTCCTAGATGTAAGGCGAAGGTGGTTGTTGTTGTTATGTGCCGTCGAGTCATTTGCGACTCATAGCGACCCTATGTACAACAGCCCTAAACTCTGCTCTGTCCTGTGCCAATCACGCTGTCTCTGACACACTCATCCCGATAACCCCAGTCACTGAATCAATCTACCTCATAGAGGGTCTTCCCCTCCTGCTCTGTAAAATATCGAATTTTGACAACTTGATACTAAAAACTAATCCAAGTTAGTAAACTTTAATTTTAATTATATGTTGAAATGACAATATTGTGTTAATATGGAAGGTAAATGAAGATACATTGTTGAAATTATTTTCACTTATCTCTTTTTTTACATTTTTGTGGGGTGGCACTGATATGTCCACCAACAGCCTAACTAATACAGATTTGCACTCTTGGCTTGTTACTCAGTTTTCTAATTTGCTTTTGCTTATTTTGTATAGCTTCGAGTTTAATTACTGGATAAATTTGTACAATTCATTTAGTGTTGGATTTGAGTTCTTACCAAACATTAAAACAAAACATGTTGTAATGTTCACCTTGTAAATTTGCAATCTTATCAGTATAAGTCCTAAAATAATCATTTTAGCTATAGATCAAATGGTTGTTCAAAAGTCTTGAGGGAAATTATCTAACTGATTATATGTTCATTTTTTTCACAGAAACAAGTTGTTCCCTGAATCTGTCATCAGGAATATTATGTATCAGATATTGCAAGGGCTGGCATTTATTCATAAACATGGTATGTTTCTTTTATGACACATTTCTCTGCTCCTTTAGATTGTCAAGATGTATGCTCAGAAATTGAATACAAGATGTTACAGAGTGTTGGACAGTTACGAGTTTAGAATGAGTCTCTGGGTGGTACAGATGCTTAAGTGCTGGAAGACTAGACAAAAGATTGTGGATTTGAGCCCAACAGAGGTGTCTTAGTGGTAAAGCATGATTCTCTTCTTAAAGGCCAAAAAAGACAAAAACACACGGATTGGCAACAACAGATAACAGCAAACCACTAAAAAAAAATTAAAATAAATCAAGATATTGTCATTGTTAATGTGCCATTGAATCGACCATATTATTTTGATGTATCTGATTATTCTGTGCAAGTGTGTTCTGTCACTTGCTAATTTGATAATTCTTAGTGTTTCTTAGTGTTTCACTTCCTATCTCTTGGTAGGTCTGATAAAGGGAGGTGTGTGTATTGTTGTCTGTTCACTATTTGCGCACTGCAGTTGAGGACAGGCTGCATAGTCTTTCATTGATCAGGTGGAACAAGAGGTCTTTACTCTCGTCCAATGAGTGAAACTGCTGGTGGTGTATGTGTGGCTGAATACTGTTGCCACCGTTCTCATCATGAGATAGCTGCTGTTCCTGAGTTCCCTAGCCAGCCAGACCAGTGTTCAAAATGACTGGACCGTGCTGTTTACAAATCTGTGCTCTGTTGGTCCCATTCTTTTTTTTTTATTTGGTTTCTTCCTTCAGTTGATGTTTGAAGTATTTCTTTATCTTTTCCTTTTCAACTCAGGATTCTAGAATTATGCTCCATATCTATTATCTTTATTTTCTGATCCTTTGGTTGAAACAGGCTCTTATCTGCCTAGTCTGCCGTCTTACCAAAAATTGAGTGTTTCTCTAATTAGAGGAAACTATAGCCTTTTAAAACCAAAATTTTGAGTAATGTGAACATTAGTATTTAATTTCAACCATCATAAACCCATCATGCAACTTTATTCATGTTAGTTTTATCATGGAAGTGAAACAAAAACCACAACTGGGTCATTTTGAAAAAGAATAGACTCCTTTCATCTACTATGAATATTAATGTTTAAATGAATTGAAGAACCTATGGTGTGGTGGTATTAGTTTTCTTTAACATTTAGTTCTCCTCCCATGCTATTTACCACACTGGAAACCCACTAGAGATTCAGCTACAGGTTAGGTCCAACTCAGTGATACACAACAACTGCATAGGTGCTGTCAGATATAATAGTTTGAAGGGAATATACCCCCAGATACTCTAAAAGAGTAGCTGTCAAAGTAAGACACCATATTTTCTTTAAAACAAGACCACATTACCAATATTATTAAGAAAGGGGAAAATTTCAACCTTACAAATGTGTATTTGGTTTGATATTCTAAGATTTAATTGAGCAGTGGTGATAAATAATTAACTAGTTCTTGAATTGACTGAATTATTTTACCTGAACAAAATATCTGTGTTTGTTGTCAGTGTTGTTATTATGTACTATTAAGTCGTACCAACTCTTAAATGACCTTCCAGAAGGTTTTTGGGGGCAGTAAATTGCACAGTAGGAGATTGGTTTTTATCCTGGGGAGCAGCTGGTAGGTTGAAACCACCTGTTTTTGGATACTAAAGCAATTCCTTACCACGAAGCCACCAGAGCTCCCCACACCCAAAATCTATGTTTACTGAGTGGTGGTGGTGTTATTAAATGTCATCAAGTCAGAACCAACTCATATCTGACCCTCAAGGGGGTTTCAGAGGTTTTAAAGAGCATGCAAGGAGACTGACCATCTTTGTCCACAGTAGCTAGTGGATTCTAACCACCTGCCTTAAGGGTCACAGCACACCTTTTACCAATAGCCCACCAGAGCTTCCTGTTTATTTACTAGGTCAATATCTTAATTGAATCATACACTCTTTGTGAACTTTCTTGCCAAATTATTTTGAAACTAGGATCTCCAACTCCTATCACTATAAACAATGTGGTTTATTTTCTGTATGGAAATTCAAGTTTCTAATTATCATTGAGAGACTTAGTTTTATTTATTTAAACATAACAATTTATGAATTTTTCCTCTTTCTTTTACCAAGGCTTTTTTCATAGGGACATGAAACCAGAAAACTTACTTTGTATGGGTCCAGAACTTGTGAAAATTGCTGATTTTGGTCTTGCAAGAGAATTAAGATCACAGCCCCCGTATACTGATTATGTATCTACCAGATGGTAAGTAACTTTACCCATCTCCTCTAAGTCAAGATGCATTGCAGAGTGTATCTGTCAATATGACTTTTCCTAGCCATCATTCGACTTTGGTATGTAGATGGGCAGAAATATGTAAATGGAGTGTGCTAGCCTTTCCACAAAAGGATTGGCTATCTACCATTCCACAAGAGGATTGACCAGTCCAACCAGTCTGCAACTGGGTTGCCTAGCCTCACCAATTAATTGAACAGCTCTAAATGCAGAGAAAGACCTTTTGGTGCCATTGAACAAGAAGCAGCATCTATGGCTGAATTGGAGACTTGGCATGAAATGGGATCTTGTGGAGGAGAGAGCCAATTCTCAGGACTGAGAACTTGGGGACATTGACCTGAAGCCACAAACCTTGAGACCGAGGTGCCTGCATGCACATTTCAGGAGCTATCATGACTGTATTCTGTTATTCATATGGATGTTATTCATTGGACCTTTTGACTTCCTCATTTTGGTCTGTGATTGATCACACTGGATTTTGAACACAGCAGAGCAATAAGATTGATGTTGAGATGAGTAGAAAGAGATATCAGAGTGTCGGGGAAATATGTCTGACATCATGTGAATTGGGTTGGTGTTACTGATGCTGTTGATAGGGACAGTTCTCCTTTGTGAAGTTGGTAAAAGTCAGAATTGGCTGTGCCCATGCATCCTTTTTTACATGCACAAATTCAAGTTTTCCTGTTAAATGTTTTCCTGGAGATTCCATACCCATATTTGGAATTGAAATGACTTTTCTTATTAATGAAAGAAAAAGACATAAGAATGTCATTCATTCATTCAACATATTTATTTAATAACTATTACTCTTCTAAATTCTGTGTGCATAACAGTGAGTGAAAGGGGGGGGAGTTATCCCTGTTCTTCTGAAATTATACATGAATTAAAAAAGTAAATTAAACATTATTCTATGTCACTGATATGTCTTGGAGAAGGTGAAACCAAGCTGTTCCCTGGAGGTGAGGATTTTGATGCTTTGTCTCACATATTTTGGGCACATGGCCAGGGGGCACCAGTCCTTAGAGAAGGAAATCATGCTTGGAAGGGTGGAGGGACAGCACAGGAGAAGAAGACCCAGGATGAGATGACTTGTTTCAGTGACTGGAAAAATGGGTTTAAGTCTTTTGGAGACTATAAGATTAACTCAGGATCGGGCATAGTTCAAAGCTAATGTACATTGGGTCACTATGAGCCACAGGTGACTCAAGGGCACATAACAACAATGGGATTCTATGGGGAAAGTTTTGAATATGCAGAGAACATAAAAAGATATAAGAAATACACAGAATCACAGTGTACCATTTCAGGAAGTAGTATATGATCTAGAATGAATGGTAATGAAAGAAGTTCAAACTGTATTGCAGGCATTGTAAAAGAAATAAATAAAATAATAAGACCTCAGGAATTGATGGAACAACAACTGATGTGTTTAAATAAACAGATGCAGCCCTGGATGCGATCACTAGTTTATGACAATTTGGAGGACAGCTACCTGGCCAACTCACTAGAAGAGATCTGTATTTGTTTCCCTTCCAGAAAAAGTGATCCAACAGAATGTGGAAGTAATTGAACAATATCATTGATAATACATGAAACTAAAATCTTGCTGAACATTTTTTTAAAATTACAGAAGTAGTACATTGACATAGAACTTTGAGAAATTTAAGCTGAATTCAGAAAAGCCACAAGAGATATCATTGCTGATGTTAGGTGAATCTTAGCAGAAAACAGAAAATACCAGAAAGATGTTCACTTGTGTTTTATTGAGTATGTAAAGGTGTTTGACCATGTGGATCGTAACAAATTATAGCTAACATTGAGAAGAATGAAAGTTCCAGAAAAATTATGCACATAAAAAAGCTATACCTCAACCATCTGTATGCTGGGCAAGTAATTTGAGAAGCTGGACTATATGAAAAAGAATATGGCACCCAGATTGGGGGGAAACTCATTAACAACCTGTGTTATACAGATGATACAACATTGCTTGCATAAAGTGAAGAGTCTTTGAAACACTTGGTGTAGAAGATCAAAAACTACTGTCTCCAACATGAATGAAATACAGAAAGCAGAAATCCTTTTCACTGGATCAGTAGGCTACATCATGATAGATGGAGAAAAGATTGACGTCAACAATTTCATTTCACTTGAATTCACAAGCCACACCCATTGTAACAGAAGTCAAGAAATCAAAAGATGTGTTACATTGGGAAAATCTCTTGTCAGGGACCTCTCCAAAGTACTAAAGAGCATGAAAGTACTTTTAAAGACTAAGGTATGCCTGATCTAAGCCATGATATTTTTGTTTGCGAGTGTCAAGGACTGTAGCCTACAATATGAATTGAGGCTCAATGTCAAGAAGACAAAGATTCTCACCACTGCACCAGTTGGCAGCATCAGGATGGATGGTGAAGAGATTGAGGTTGTACACAGCTTTAGTTTGCTTGGCTCCGTAGTCAACAGTCTTGGCACCAGCAGCCAGGAAATTAAAAGGCACATTGCCATGGGAAAGTCTGCTGTTAGGGACCTCTCCAAAGTACTGAAGAGCAATGGTGTCTCTCTGGAGACTAAGGTGCGTCTGATACAGGCCATGGTCTTCGCAATCACTTGTTATGCATCAGAGAGTTGGACAATGACCAAGGAGGATAGAAGGAGAATTGATGCCTTTGAGCTGTGGTGCTGGAGAAGAGTATTGAGAATACCATGGACTGCTAGGAAAACAAACAGATTTGTCCTGGAAAGGGTTAAACCGGGTGGCTCCTTGGAGGCAAGGATTCTGAGGCTCCGTCTAACTTACTTCGGACATGTAGTGAGGAGAGACCGGTCCTTGGAGAGGGACATCATGCTTGGGAGGGTGGAGGGACAGCGCAGGAGAGGAAGGCCCTCTATGAGGTGGATTGATTCAGTGACTGGGATAATTGGGATGGGAGTGTCAGAGACAGTGCGATTGCCACAGGATAGAGCAGAGTTTAGGGCTGTTGTACATAGGGTTGCTATGAGTCGCAAGTGATTCGAGGGCACATAACAACAACAACAGCCCTGTGGAAATGTACAGTGAAGAAGGATGACAGAAGAATTGATGCCTTTGAGTTTTGATGTTGGAGAAGAGTACTGAATATCCTGTGGACTGCCAAAACAACAAACAAGTCTGTTTTGGAGGAAATGCAACCAGATTGCTCCTTGGAGTCAAAAATGATGAAATTTCGTCTTATATATTTTAGGCATCTGGTCAGGAAGGGCCAATCTTTGGGAAAAGACATTATACTGGTAAGGGAGAAAACTCAGAAAGAGAAGACTCTCAACTAGATTGACACAATGACTTTAACAATGGTCTTGAGCATAGGGATGACCATGAGAATGGTGCAGGATAAGAGACAGCTCACATTTCTTCTTCATAGGGTCACTATGAGACATAATTGACTCGAAGTTCTCTAACAACTACCACCACCATTGGAGTGCATATGCAAAGTCATCAAAAGATGTGTGACAATCCCAAGCTGCGAATTCCCATCAACAGTAGATTGGCATATTCTCTCAGCAGTGAGAATGAAAGGTTTACAACTTATGCAACAGTGTAGATGAATCTTCCTGACATGTTCTGAGAACAAGAGGCCAGACAGAAAAAGAGCACACACTGTGTATGATTCCAGTTTTTAAATATAAAAAAATAGAAAAAGCTAATTCTGTGGAGCTCTAATCAGGAGATCGTGACACTTACTGGGAGAGTAGTTGTGTGTGCCACCGAGTTGGAACCAATCCATAGCAGACCCTCCAGCAGGTTTTCAGAGGCAGTTTCATTGGATGGGAGGAGATGACTCATCCTTCTCCCACAGAGCACCTGGTGGATTTGAACTGTGCATAAGAACTGCATGCCTTTGGGATTACAGTGCAGTTTCTTATCACTAAATGCTTTCTGGTTGCTGATACTGTACAATGTCCTAATTTGAGTGTTGCACTCATGCATGTATTCCCTGTGAGTACCCATCATGTACACGCTTGTGATACTTGCAGTTTTCAGTATATGCATATGAGACATAAATTAAAAGAGTGTGTGTATGTGTGTGTAGGTGGCACATTATTGTACAGAAAATATAGAAATGGGACAGGGAGTTGGGAGCAGTTAGGGAGAAAAAAGGAAAATTGGGGCATGAGGGTGGGGAGAAGAGTTCTGGATGACACTTGAGGTCAATATCAGGCAGGCTATAGGGGGGAGATAACATCTAAGTCATGGAAACTATCAGTGGAGATTCAGTAACTAAAAGAAACTTGTAACTCTCAAGTGGAAACCGACTCGTAGCTGACCTTCCATTGAGTTTCCAAGACTGTAAATTGCACAGGAAGAGCTTTCCCTTCTTTCTCCTGTGGAGTCACTGGTGTATTAGAACTGCTAGAGAGGCGTGGGTCCCTTAAGTTGTGAGCAAATCAAGTGTGAGTTCTGCAAAGAGAAGCATGCATGAGGACAGGAGTAAGACCTGTAGTTGGAGAGGTTGGGTGGTCCCGGTGCCTGAGACCTTGTAGGTCATTACAAGGACTGTGTGTGGCTTTTTTTTTTAAAAATTTTTGTGTGAGTGTACCGTCAAATCAGATCTGACTGGTACAGGAGGAGATTGTCCCTCCTTTTCCGGGCAGAGCATCTGGTGGATTCGAACCGTTTGCCTCTGGGATTGTAGTTGCAGCTCCTTGCCACTAGGCCACCAGAGCTCCCCTTGTGTGTGGCTTTTTAACCAGAGTAAAATAGGCAGCCACTGGAGAGGTTGAGAAGTGTGACATGATCTGTCTAATGTTTTGAAAGTGTCACTGTGGTTGTGATGTTGGCAACAGAGACTAAAGAAGCCAAGACAGAAGACAGAAGAAGTTAAAGGCTAGTATACAACTCAGGCAGGAAATGATAGTGTCTCGGACCTGGGAGCAATAGCCGTATTGAGGACTCAGATTCTGGAAATGTTTTAAGAAAGAGCAAAATTGAGTTCCTGATGAATCAAATGTGAGATGTGAAAAAAGGGAGCGGACTCCAGGGGTTTTTCCCTGAACAAGAGATAGATGGAATCACTGTAAATTAAAATAGGGAAGCTCCAGGAACCCTTTGGGGAAAATACTGTTTTCTTTTGGACCAAATGTGAGATATATATATCTATATCTCACATATACCACATATACATATACCACATATACATATATCTCTCACATATATGTATATCTCTCACATATACGTATATCTCTCACATATACGTATATCTCTCACATATACATATATCTCTCACATATACA